TTGGTGGTATCGAGTCTGTTTTTGAACCAGTTGAAACCTCTTTGCCCCACAGCTCTTTTTCCGTCCCTGTTGCTGGCCAAGGAATATTCCCCCAAATTTGATTATCTGGTCGCTAATTAAAGACCAGGTCAAGAGCAAACGGATTTTCTCAAACTGCAAATTATTCTGGAGGGTTGAAAAGGAGCCTGAGCTCACACAGACCTTTCTCGTTGTGTTATCATTTGTCGGCACTATCTCTCTCGGAGATAAGTCACATTATACTTGGCCATGGGTTTTTGGAGCAGTGTCAAAAAGGGAATTTTAGGAATTTAAGTGGAGCCGTGGATCTGAGACAAATTCTTAATTCTTCCTTTCTGGTGCTATGTCTGTCTGGGAGCCTTTTTGATGTCAGCGCAGGGGATTTCCTGCTGTGTGTGTGGTGTGTGTGTGTGTGTGTGTGTCTGAGTGTGTATGTTTGTCTCAGTGTCCGTGCTGGTTCATCATTTACACACACTTCTCTGCATTTGGTATGCTAAACTTTAGAACATTTTATGTTATTTATGAAAGCTTTTCAGAAACTAAAAATACAAGCAGATCCATCTCTCTTCCCCCCCCCCCCCCCCTTCAACGCTTGCTGGATTTACCTGTCCATCATCAAAGTGCTCAGTAAACCGTTAATAATAAATTGAGACTGGCTTTATCACTTATGAAAGTAACTTTAAGTGAACCTGCTACCTCTAAATGTATCATATCCCACCTCCTCCACAACAGAGCAAAGGCCTCAAGGCTCCTCCAGTTGTCCTAATAAGAAGCAGGTACGCTGCTCTTTTGGTCCTCTTGGCCCTCTAAGTGACATATTATTCTACATCCACACACACACATGGTCCTGCTTAAATCATTTCCCAAGTAGGGGAGGTGAGTGGAGGAGTCCATGTTGATTTGGAGAGGGGAGTTGTGTTTCCTCCCATGCCCGGTAACATTTTCCTAAAAAATTAACCTGTGTTTGAAGGGTTTGGTTTAAACAGAAAGAGAGTAAGTATACATTGGCTTAAACAAGCCACAGGGAGCAGGGATAAGTGCTCTTTAAACCCATGAATTCTAGTTTGGTTACTTTATCTTTGGTCTTTATCTTTTTAACCAAACCCCTACTCATCATCCCTCTTTCCTGACCCTTTCCCTGCCTCATGAGATAGCTGCTGGCTTGCCCGTCCAGGGTGTTTCATATCGGAGCACTGCCGTTGCCAGCGGCCTAAATCAGAGCATCCAGGAGTTAGCAGGGAAGAATGTTGGGATGGGGGGCAACATCTGAGACGGGACATTCTATCCCCGCTGTATGAAATATATACAAAAAAATTAGAACCTTTGCTTTCACATGGGGGAATGTCGAGGCAAACATTTTAAGAATGCAATCACGAGAAGCTTCCCTTGAGGCTATAGTATAGCAGTGTAGAGTGTGTAGCAGTGTTTGTGCACACATACATGACCACGAGGATGCTGTGTCTAGCTGCCTTCGTGCACAATATTGTTTGTAAAGGATATTCAGTTTGTTCATGTTTAATGCATGCAGCAGTGTATGTCTGCATGTCTGAAAGCATGTATGATGGTTATTCAGTTTACAAAAGTAAAAGCATAAGGACGAACTCTGCAGATAGGGTTTTCAAAGGAAGCAGTCTTCTCACAACACACACTTACTGCCCCAAACACTTGCACACATTGCTGTGTTCCCTGTATTGCTGCTGTATTTGAAATAATAAAAAATGCAGTTATCAATTGTGCCATCTAAACAGAAGGTTGAAAAGTTGACTTAGCCATGCTGCTCAAGCATGTCGTGTAATATTTGTGTAAAAGATGTTGCAAAATCCTCAACTGATCCTCTAAAATGTCATGGAGTTGATCAATTATCTACACTGTGTGCACGTGTGTGTCCCTGTAATTATGTGGACCTGTGAGCCTGTGTGCATTGGTGCGAGTGTGTCTCTGACTTCACACTGCTGTTCTCTGAGGAGTCAGACTGCGTCAGGCTGAAATCTCATTTTCTGCCTGTTAGGGTCTCCAGCTCCTCTGTCTCCTCTGTTGTACCCTCTGTCTAGGTGCAGAGACCTTGGGCCTCCATGCCTGGATAATTGGCTGTAATTGTCTTTTCACTTCTCATTTGTCACACACTCAGATGTCCTCTGTCCTTCTAGAGTCATCTTACTTTTCTTCTCCAAGAGTGAGTGACCCATCCTCCCGCACTGCAGAGGAGTAAGTGTGTGTGTGTGTGTGTGTGTGTGTGTGTGTGTAGAGCGTACAGTTAGTAGACAAGTGGGTGAATCAGTAAGCGCGTGCATTTATTCCACACCTGGCTGAAATATTACTTGAAGAGAGTATGTATTGTGTGAAGCTGTGTAAATCATGCGTTTCTCAACCGGGTTCAACTCTTTGAAATCATGTTCAAATCTAATTCTGCCCAGCGGCTCTGGTGTGGCATGTTATGGGTATTATTCATGCAAGTCAAACTATCTTAGTCTCTAGAGGTGTGTACAGTGTCAAACACACAAGTCTTGTTCCTGTCAAATAAATACACTGCAAAAAAAAAAAACTTAAATCTTCTATTTTACCGTTTTGTATTTCTTAAAACAAATTAATGCAGTATCTGTTTTCAGCTATAATTGTTGTCTCCATAGATTTCCTTTTCAAGGCTAAAACTGTTATTGTGGAGTTTTCTCACTAATTTATTTTAGGAAAAAAGTTTTCATCTATTAAATTTGAGACTAAATTACATTTCTTTCAGCAGTGCAGTCTGCTGTTTTACTGACTGAGCTGTGTGTCTGGCTTTGAGAAGCTCAAATACACATATTTCAGTCTCACCTGTGGAGAGAGTCCGTTTCCTATGGCGGGGTTCATGGGATTGGCCGGTCCTCCGGGGCTCACAAAGCTGTCCGAGTAGCCTGAGAAGGAGTGGCGTCCTGAGGCGAGGCAGTAGGCGGATCCTCCTTCTCCCTGCCCTCCACCTCCGGAGGCTTGGTGGCCCGAGGAGGGAGGGAGAGGCTGGGGGCGATGCACCGTGCTCGGGGGCTCCGACACTACCAAAGGCATTACAGACAAAGTTAAGGATTGTCAGTTAAAAACTGCAAAACGTAACCGCTAAGTGATTGGTGGTGGGATCAATGAACTTTTTGTTACTGCGTTAACTTATCCCTTAAGCAGAGGTAAAACTGCTGGACTGACTCAATATAAACTTACATTTAAAAACATGTCTGTTCAATCTGTATAAAGACATTTATATTTTTTGAATATGAAATCATATTATAAAGTCTTTCTCATGCAGTGTTATAGGTTATTTTAATTTAGCAAACAATCCAAAACTATCAGACTCTCTGGTTATGCAATAAAGACCAATACTTCTGTCAAATTATACTTTGTTTAATATAATATTAATGATTAAAATAGAATTACACTTAGGATAGTAATTTAACTGACACTGAGAAGAGCCTCAAGATAAAAAGACAGTTGAATGTTTTGTAATAACTGCAGAATGATAACGTGTCTCTCTGTGGTGAGATATTTCTACCACAAATGGGTTTTGGATTCAAACCAAATGAAAAATGCAATGCCATCAATATAAGAACAAAACTGTCTTTCATTTTCTAAACAAACCTTCTGCTCATAGCATGAATACTATAGAACTATTCTGAACTTATTTGCTGCAGTATGTTATATTTCTCCACATGTGAACCTTCAACCACTGCATTTATTTCCACAGTCCGTCTCCTCTCTTACCTTGTGCTATAGATGAGGGGGGGTAGGTGCTGTCAGAGAGCTGGTAAGGGGGGATGCTTGACATGGCTGAAGGTGGGAAACCCCCTGGGATCAGGTGATTAAATGCCATCAGTTGATTGGCTCCTGCTTGCTTCCTCCACCTCGCCCGCCTGTTGCTGAACCAAACCTATGAAGGAGGACAATGATTTGGTTTTTTTTTTATTATTTTATTTCTTGTATTGCCTTTACTTGAGAAGAGTGAGGAAAGAGAGAGAGGGGATGACATGCAGCAAAGGGCCGCAGGTTGGAATCAAACCCAGGCCGCTGCAGTAAGGACTCAGCCGTTGTGCATGGAGATACGACGTTTGATCAGTGTGTGTGTTGTGTGTTTATCAGACTACAGTTTTTAATGCTGCCATCCATGTATGTATTAGCAGATATTTTAAAGATTAAAAAAATCACAGTTAAAAAAGCGGTAGCTATATTTGTTTGCACAGTTAACACATACTTACATATACTGTACACAAAATAATACATTCTCTAACAGTTCAATTAGAGCGTGAAGCTGAAAAGGAAGGTGAAAGACAGAGTGAGAAAAAATGTTGAGTGTGTACGTGTGTGTGGGTAAGATGTGTATCATGGCTGGTTGCACTGAGTGTGTGAGTGACATGCCGTGTCCATATGGACAGGACTCACACTGGGCCTGCTTACACTTCACATATGGAGCCTGTGGAGGAGAATTTACTGGACTCCAGATCAGAAATAGGTAAGTCCACATTGGGCCCCTGGGAGTGTGGATGAGAAGTGTATGTGTGTGTATGTGTGTGTGTGTGTGTGTGTGTGTCATTGTATGAAGCAAACAGAGCTTAGCAGGTTGCCTTTAAATGGTCAAAGAGTGTGTAAAGCCATAGGGTTTATGTCTAAAAGTGTGTGTGTGTGTGTGTGTGTGTGTGTGTGAGACAGGGATGTTCATAGGTCATCAAGTTGCACGCTGGTGTGTTAGGTCAGATAGAAGTCAATGTGTGAGTGTTGCTATCTTGTAAACATTTTTATGTTTTAAGTTAAGTTTTAAGGATTTCATGGTTCTCTGTAATGTTGAGGTAAAGTGTATAACCCCTAAGCTTAACCCTAACCCAAACTCTTTCACAATCCATCATATGAATTCCTGTATTTAACAAGCTAAAATCTGTTTTTGTCTCTCTTCAGTTTTTTAAAAGCTTGCACATACTGAAAGCGGATATACAGTATGTGCATTTGCCCTCTCATACCTGAACCCTGGCCTCTGTGAGTTTGGCCCTCTGGGCGAGCTCCTCCCTGGTGTAGATGTCGGGGTAGTGGGTCCTCTCGAAGGCCCTCTCCAGCTCCTCCAGCTGCTCTGCCGTGAAGGTGGTCCGACTGCGCCGCTGCTTCCTCTTAAGCGGCAGATCAGGCTCCGACTCTACGTCCGAACCCTCGTCTGAGTGACTTGCTGTTCAAACGCAGGAGACAGAAAAATAGGAAATCAGTCAAGATGAGATTTTCTCCCAGTATCAGATATCAGAAGTTAACGTTTTCCACTCCTCAAAGGTTTTTTCCTGATAAACCACATACACACACTCAGCTTAACTTAGCCTCAGCAGAGCTTTATAAAACCTGAAGTGACCACCTGACCTTTGAAACCCTGCTGAGGAGCAAACATGCTGATGCTGGTGGTGCTTTAAGTGTATTTTTTGTTATGGTGGCTGTTCAGCAGAATAACAAAATATCAATTGATTTGCTCTCTGTTTTCAATCATTTACTTTAGTGGCTATTTTCTTTTCTTTACACACTCCCACACAGACATGCACCATCAGGCATCATTCTTCCTCAGTCTTGTGGCCAAACAGACCTCCATTCAGAAGGAATATTCTGAGCCTGAGGAATAATCCCAATGGACAAGATTCCCAGGGCACCACAGGGGGACTGGTGGACTAAAAGCCACACAAAAGGCTAATTTGGATCCAGGGGCCATTCTTTAAGCGCGCGTCTGTGTGTGCGTTTGTCTGTGTGCGTTTGTGTGTGTGTATGTGTGTGTGTGTGGACAGTAGCCTGGATTGCCAAGAGCAGTTTCCTGAAAGAAGGATAAACTACTTATCCACTCTCTCTGTCTCGTCACACATATGAGTTCACAGTCCATACGATTTCTCTAGCAATCACTGTTAGTCATAGTGATTCAGTATCAAGTCTTAAGATATATATACATATATACACGTCAAGTTCAGAGTCACAGAGAATCAAAAATGTAATACAGTGATTGAAAAATAAAACTTGTTTTTTGTTTTTTGGTTAATTGTTTTCAAAATTATCAATATGCCCATAAAAAAATCCAAGAGTTTTTCTGATCAACAGTATAAACGCCAAAGTTTTACACTTACAATTATATCAAACGAAGAAAAAAAAACACAAAGTTGTAAACACAGAATATTTGGCCTTTTTGCTCAATAAATGACTTAAACTTGTTATTAATTTTAATATCGAACAATTAATTGATTAAGCAACTAAACTCTCTAATGGAATCACAATCCTAAATTTGAGAAATACAAAACTTACATATTTTTGACAGTGTGATCTTCAGCCTGACTGAGCTGCAGTGTTATTATTAGTCCTGACAGCTTTTGTGTTTCTGCTTTTCATCTCTGTCTCAGATCAGTTTTAATACTATTGTGAACTATGTTCTATAAGCCAGCAGCTTGGATTTTAACTCACTACTTCAAACACTCAATTGGCTCCGTTCTAAGTTCACCAAGGCCAGAGCGCCCACTTTTTGTGTTACACTTAATTAATTCCCCCTCAGCATAGGGGAAGTTTTGTGTGCAACACTGTATTAGTTCCCCCTCAGAAGCAACAATAAAATACAAGAGAATCCAAATAGCTCAGGGCCCCTCATGTGAAACTGATCCTCTCTCCCCCTTCGGCGATTTTCCCCGTGCAACACCAATAGCAGTGGGAGTCAACTTAACATGCATTAGGAGCAAATTGGTAAAGAAACATTCAAGCATGAGGGAGGCAATAAGTAAAATATTTTCAAAGGGGGAGCGAGCGAAATGGAGACATTGCCTTAAGCCTCTGCTGAATATATTGCAATTTTGCACTCATAGATTGCTCGCTCCTTGTCAACCTGCATGTGTGTTTAGCATTTTAACATGAACGACAGACCATAACACTAAAATGGTGGACATGTTCTCAAATGGATGCACAGAAAAGAAGAAAATCAAAATGGCCACTGAGGTTACAAACATCAACTCAGTCAAATGTTTCACAACTTTTTACACACTATGATTTCCAACACGGTGACAGAAACTTTTAGGACTTTGCAGACCATGACCAGTGGGGTCATAGGACTTGTGTTTTAGCTGGTGGGGAAGGAATTCGGGGTGTGGAGTGTGGGGCTCTGGAGTTTTGGACAGGATGGCTGAAAAACAAGAGATGAGGCCTTTTGTAGCCTCCCCCTCCAGGTCCTGCATGGAGGAGGGCTGCTAGGAATGCTTTTTCGCTCCCCCCCGCCCCCCGACTTTAGCAGCATGCACGTTCCTCAGCATTTCACAGGGATTTGGGCCCTGGGAAAGCTGAGGCGGCCGGGAAAATCCTTAATCACTTTGGAATTACCTATCGGTTATGACTGCTACCGGGGTTTGGAGAACTTTTCAAAAGAAGCGACAGAGTGGCACCTCTGAAGTCTCGGGAGTCTAGTCGTGATACAATCCTGAATCAGATCCTTCACAGAGGGCTCAAACGGGCTCATTTGTTTCACTTCACTTCGTCTGATTGCGGCATCACTTGATGTCAAGATAAGGCGATGGGAAGAAACGATAACGCTGTCTGCTGGGGGATCTGGGTCAGTGCCACATTATACCAAGAGAGTAAATGCATTGCACTGAACATCCCACAGCTGACAGGTAGAACACTAGGTGATAGGAATCACAACCAGCATGTATAAAATGTAGAAGAAAACATCAGACTTGCACATTTTTCACTCCAAACAATAGCAAACTCCTGATTTGCCCCAACAAACACACTTTTTGCACTTCTGCACGCCACCCTCCTTAAACAAGCACCACCTTCTCCTCCCTCTTCTCTCGCTCTCATTCTCCCTCCTTTTCACCCTCTCTCGCAGCCTGTCTTTGTCCCCCTTCTCCCCATCTCTCTCTTTTCCACCCATATTTCTCTCTGTGACTCTCGGGCTCTTTGTTGCTCCACAGAGCCGAGGTCTTTGCCGGCGATTTCCACGCTCCATCTGTGGAATCCGTCATGGCTCCCTCGGCCCTTCACAGTGGAGGGCTGTCACCTGCCCCACGGGGGAGCTGGAGGGGGGACATAAAGAGGCTCCGCAGAGGGCTTGGGGGGGGGATGGGGGCACAGCCGGGGGGCATTCTAGCCCCCCCCCCAAAAAAACTACCCCCTTCCTCCAGAGGGAACTGTGAGAGCACCTGAGGGGATGAAGAGGGCAGTGGAGAGGGGCAACAGGGGCCGTTGTTGCCAATGTAAATGTACCCATGGGGATAGTCTGTCTGGGCATCTGTGTTGTTTTTTGTTGTTGTTGCAGTTGGTAGAAGCGTAGTACATGTTGTGAGCCCTGTTGAATGCATGGACCCTAACCAGTTGAGGTGAAAGGAAGAACGTCGATGATTTCCCCCGTCTTCTCTCTTCACTAACTCTCTTTAAACATTAAAATCCCGCCTGTCTCTTCTTAGTTTCTTCTCAGCGCTGTAACAATAATTATGGAGCGTCTAAAAGTGAGTTTGTGTTTGTGTCTTGGCTGGAAAAATATGTAAATTGGCTGTGTACTGTGAATGGTTTAAAGGTGAAAATAAGATGTAACAAATATTTATAAAACAAAAAATCATTCTTTTTAAAATTATTTTGACTTTTTTTCACCAGACTCATGACTTATTAGACTAGATTTTATTAGAAAGTGAACATAAACTTATTTATAAAGACTCCACATCAAAAGAATACTTTTTTTACTGTAGCCTGCAATGATCAGTGTCCTGTTCCTATGGAAATCAATCTATGTCTTTTAAATGTAGGGTTATTTTACGGCAAAAATCACAAAAAATTGTAATTCAATGTAAGTTCCACTGTGACTTTTTAGGTAGTAGAGGCAACTTGTTTTGGTGATGGATAATTTTTATACACTACAAACTCACATCAACATGCTGGATTTTTATGTGTGTGTTTGTTAAGGATAAAAAGAAAAAAAAGTTTGTTCTGCTGCCGCACTCATCACACATTAAGCTTAAGCATCAACCGCATGCCTTAAAACACTAAAATATAATGTAATGCAAATTAAAGTGGCAGGTGATGAAGATTCACGGGATGACGCATGGGGCATAGAGGGTGTTTTGGTGGCAAACATGGGCCAAAATGGAGGGCAGCCACCCAATTGCCCCCTGAAGCTCACTACTCCCCACAGCTTGTCTCAGGAGCTCAGAAACACACACACACACGCACACACAAAAAGGCTACAGCGCTCCAAGTACATGACCTTGTACACACGTCCACAGCGCTGATTCTACATGCATTTTAAGGCTACGTTAATCGAGCTTGTCAGCCCTGAGGCGCCTCCACTTTAGTGTCCATTAACAGTACCCCCTCCTTTGGTCACATGCCTTTAAGTGTGGTCAAGCACACACACAGTACTGTCCAAAATGATCTGTGTGCTGATGAAATATAATGCCAAATCAGCATCAGGATATATATTACCTCTCCTACTGTGACAAAGAGGAGGAGAGAGAAGAGTAGATGGGGAAAGAAGAGGCTGAAGCCTTTCCCCTGCTGCCCAGATCTTTTCCAACCTTGTAAACCTGTGGTTTCAGAGTGCCCCGTTTGCCGTCATCGCCTCGCTATCCCCAAAATCTGATCACATCGATTTGGCACCGTCAAATAGCCTCTGCCAATCAAATTATCCACTCTAACCGTCATATCGCTTCCTGCCTGTATACATATGCTATATCTTAAAACGTTGTATTTATAGCCCCTGTAAACACTTGACTTCTCTCTGTATATTTTGCTCCACCTCAGCTTAAAGGAGTGGGGGGTTGCAGACATGCTGCTGGCTCTTGTCAGTCCATCGAAATATGAGAAAACATGAGCCTTAAAAGGGTAAAATTATCTGAGAAGGAGAAGGCCTGGAAAAGCAGCCTCTGCAAGATTGCCCGGGAGCCGAGGAGCATTAAGCCGCAAAATAAGAGAGGAGCAGTTGGAGGGGGTGGGTGGAAGGGGTTAGAGGAGAAAAGAAAACTGTTTAATTTAACCAAACTGAAGCCCTGAGAGGCACACAGTGCATGGGACTCCAAGCCAAAACAACCTCTCCGGAGCCAAGAAAGCCCAAAATGGATCCCACCGTGCAGCGCCATCCCAGGGAAGAGAAACACGAGGAGAAGGAGGAGAATAGAGGATTTAGCTGAAACAGACTGTTGGAAAGACTTCGGCATTGCTGAGTGGGGGGGC